CACACACACACACACACACACACACACACACACACACACACACACACCTTTCTCTTTCTGAGACCGTCTGTCACAGCAGAGGCAATGGAAAAAACAGACTCCCCCTCCTTTCTCTTTCTGGGGCTGTCTGTCACAGCAGAGGCAATGAGGAAAGAGACACCCCCCATACTTTCTCTTTCTGCGGCTGTTTGTCACAGCAAATGTGATGGGGAAAGACAGACCCCACCTGCCCCCTCCTTTCTCTTTCTCTGCTGTGACTGACAGCCTCAGAAAGAGAAAGGAGGGGGTAGGGGGTGGAGTCTGCCTTTCTCCATCACTACCTCTCAGGGAGCAGGGATGAACAGATCAGATGAACAAATGTAGAATATCAGAGAAAATGCTCAGGTGGAAAAATAAGACTGACTCAGTTTTAAAAAAAAAGAGAGAGAGTGGCTGAGTGTGGTGCACTCAAGTACAAGACAGATTCCCCGCCCCCTCCTTCCTCTTTCTGAGGCCGTCTGTCAGCAGAGAAAGAGAAATGAGGTGGGGGGGTCTGCTTTTCCCCATCCTGTCCCAGAGACACACAACACGAGGCGCACAACAGCCAGCCTAGGAAATAGAAAGGAGGGGGCGGGGAGGTCTGTCTTATACCTGAGTGATTCGCATGAGCAGCATGGATTGTTTATTTAAAATAATAAATAATCAAGTGTGACCCGAACCGCTGTTTTGTTGTGCTCTTGAGCATTTAGAACCGAGGTGTCAAAGAAGTCCAAATTTAAAACATTTTTCAAACTAAGGGCCAGTTTCTACATTAACTCAAGTTAGCACATCTTTTATTGGTTGCAGGTTCCTCAACAAGAGTTTGATTGGTCTCATTTGATGTTCTCTGTTGCAATTTTGACATCATAATCAAAGATTACTGAAAAAATTCAAAAGGTAAAAGTATTTTGCGTTTCACACATCATCTTGGGGCACCCGGGCCTTGAGTTTGACGTGTGGTTTAGAACATTGCGTATTTTCACTTATCACGGGGGGTTTCTGGAACGATGAGGGACCACTGTTTTTAACTGATGAGGTAAACCAGGTAAAATTGTATTGCAGCAAAAAGAGTTTTAGTTACTTCATATTATACTACAAATGTTGAAAGGATTTAATTGGCTGTAGAGGTTTGTTCCACTTTGGAGTAAGCTGTTGGGGGAAGAATCAGTTTTGCTGTGCGTTTCCTTGACTGATGAAGCCTTCTGGACCGAAGGCGAAACGGTTCAGCACAAAAAAAAAAAAAAAAAAAGAAATTGTCCAGATGACCTGACTGAAAAATGTTGGATTGTATACCTGGATTATTGAGCATGGACTTTGTTGGCTGTAGGTGTTTTTTTGTACCTTGAACGGAGTAGAAAAGTCAACTTCTTTTGTCTCCTTTAGACCCAAAGCTATCAGGGGAATGTTGGCTGTTTCCCTGGAGGCAAGAGACAAAAAGGAGAAAAATAAATATCAGTCCGTCATCGAATCATCAGCACGATGTGCATGTTTGCTTCCAGACAAAAACAATGAGACAGGCTGACAGCAGGCCTTTTAACATCTTTACACTGTGGTACGACTATATTCTGAAACTAACAAGTCAAAGACAAAAAAAGAGGAAAAGGTTAGGCTTGAAAAAATAAATAAATAAAAACTCCCTTTGACAACAGGCCAAGCCTTTTAGTGCTTACAAGGCAGAACAATTAGAAAATATGTATGTGGGCAGTGTGAGGCACAAACACTCTCTACAGTTAAAAAAGTGCTTAAGAAAAATTAGATTTTAGTTTTATGTTTGGTGGAATTTCATAAAAGGCCCTTCACACTCGACAGGTGTGAGGATTCAAAGCTGAAAGAGAGCCTCCTGCTGCATTTTTACCATTACACAACTGGTTTTATGAATCAATCTGGAGTTCAAACTCTTGTCAAATCTGGCTCAATAATTCTTTTTAATTTTTCTAACATAATTAGAGCGCACAAAATTCAACAAACTTTACATTTTGAGCTGGTGCTGTAAAGGTTTGGAATTTCTGCTCGTAAAATCTCAGAGGTTTCAGTTACGGGCTGAAGGAAAGCAGGTTTGACTGGTTATCACACATGAAAAAAAATGCTTGACAGATACTTCCTGCAGTTCAGGAGGACTGCAAAAAGTAAAAACCCTCACCAAGATCAAAGCACACTTTAAAAAAAACTGCACATAAAAAAGGATTTCCTTCAAAATGACTGTTTAAATAGAAGTCGTCCAAGGAGCATCACAGTAACAGCAACTCTAAAATGATCAACGATGAGTACGTTCACCATTTTTTCAGCATAAAATTTAATTAGTGTCCAGCTGAACAACTCGTACTTATTTATTATTTTGAGATAAATGTGCATTCCTCCGGCACAATGACTCCCAGAACGTCTTCACACACCAGCAGCACAGACGGGAGGAAAGAGGCACCACTGGTATCTATTAGCGCTTCTGAATGAGATCATTCTGGATTTTTCTCCTTTTTGGCACAGGCAGGCCCAGGGGGGAGGAAACTATCTGCGCTGCTGAAAGCCTCTCAGAACCTCCACCCCCATGGCATTCTCACACACACACACACGCACACACACACACACACACACACACACACACACGCACGCACACACACACACCCCTTCCAGAGGACCTGAGATTTAAAAAAAAAAAAACAGGACTGAAGATCACAAGTTAAACCTGCTCTGTGCACAACAGCTACAGTAAATGACACTTTAATTTGTTGGACAGTAGATTTTATATTAAACAATGCAGTGAAACATATATTTCTATCCAACACGTGAGACTTGCATTACACTTTACTGGCTTTATCATGTTCATTAAAATGTTCTTTGCCAGCATTTAAAAATAAATACGTATGCAAATAAATGAAACCGGTTTACTTAATCTAACCAAATATATGTTCATCCCTGGACAACTATAGTGCAGAGTACTAAAAACAAAGTAACCAGTTCTCAGAGCGTGAAGCGGAGCATCAGATCATTTGACATCAGAGTCGTGTGAACTAATCTGGGACAAAGACTAATTATTCTTCCTCAGTGTCACTCAGCAGCGTGTAACACAGACACCTTTATCTGATTGTCATACGTCATCGCTGTAGCTGCGCTGACTCAGAAATCCTTCAGGAAAGTTCAGTTCGTTGTCCCGTACAGGAACAATAACAAAAGGGAACTGAACAGACTCTCGATGCTCTACAGAGAGAACGAGCAAGATTTTAGAGCTGCAAGTTAAAAGGTGAGCCATGTTGGCATTAACGGTCTAATCTTTGTATCTTTAAGAGAGATTGCAGTGGTTTTCCCTTTTAGAAAAGGTTTTAAAAAAACTACAACCTCAGCTGCAGACTGAATGATTTTTAAAACAATTTCATATGAAAAAAATGCATTTGGTTTGGATGAAGAATGAGCACAGAAAGAGGCTGAAAAAGCCTGAAAATGTGAGGTCATAGTTTGTTGTTTTTGTACTTAATTATAAGGGTAACATTCAGGAGGAAATAAGCAGGTTTCACCGTAACTACAGAGAATCGTCCAGAGAGACACCTGCTCAGACATGACGAGTTCTAGTCTGATGCAGATTATCCACATCTTTGAATGCATGGCTTTTTTGTGTACATAGTAACTTTCAGAAAATATCCAACATTTTTCAGTCAGGTCATCTGGACAGTTTCTTTTTTTGTGATGAAACGTTTCGCCTTCGATCCGGAAGGCTTCATCAGTCAAGGAAACACACAACAAAACTGATTCTTCCCCCAACAGCTTACTCCAGAGTGGACTGATGAAGCCTTCCGGATCGAAGGTGAAACGTTTCAGCACAAAAAAAAGAAAATGTCCAGATGACCTGACTGAAAAATGTTGGATTGTATACCTGGATTATTGAGCATGGACTTTGTTGTTTTCAACCAGTTTGACCAGACTGTCAACAAGGAAGAGGGCCAGCAATGGAGGAGGGGGCGTGACAAAGAGACCATCTTATCACAAGCAGAACTGGTTTGTTCCACTTTGGAGTAAGCTGTTGGGGGAAGAATCAGTTTTGTTGTGTGTTTCCTTGACTGATGAAGCCTTCTGGATCGAAGGTGAAACGTTTCAGCACAAAAAAAAAAAAAAAAGAAACTGTCCAGATGACCTGACTGAAAAATGTTGGATTGTATACCTGGATTATTGAGCAAGGACTTTGTTGTTTCAGAAAATATGTTTTTCATTTTAGTTCAATCGGACACACAGAAGGAGCCAGATTCAGGTTCTGCTTATGCCCAGAACAATGACAATTCTCCAATGATCTGTTGTGATGGCAGAGGATTAAAAATTGTACCCAAAGATAGGTGCTGAAATTTGTGGACAGTCTTAATGACTGCTGAATACAGCTGCCATTTATTTATTTATTTTTGTTGTTGTTGTTGGGTTTTTTTTGGTTAAAGCTGAGGATGCTGCTGTGTTTTTGTGTTGTTTTGTTTTTATGCTATTAGTACGTAGCATATTTTTAGTTAGTTTTTCTTAGTTCATATCTTAGATCTTATTACTGTTTTTCTTTTACATTTTATTGTTGGATGTAACTGGGACCCTGAGCACACAATTTCATTCCACCACATGTACCACATGTGATGCGAATGACAAATAAAGAAACTCTGACTCTGACACAGTTTGTTTGACCAGGAAACAAATTTTGAAAAAAAAAAAACAAAGACATCAGAAGACATCAGCTACACTGACACCTAAAGCACACTCAGGAAAACATTTGTCTCCTGTCAGCCCACATGGATTTCCTCATCCTACACAGTCCTGCCAGTGTGCAGCTGTCCAGACTGGCTCTGAAACTGGGTCAAAACCTCACAGCTCTAGCTACACTGGAACCCTGTGAGTCAAACAAACTAATCTGGGCTTATTGTCTAAAAACCTAAAAAATAAAAAACCTCAAACAAACCTAAAATACCAGCACAAGTTGCTATTTTAGGTTTTCAGAGGTCAGTTACAAAAAAAAAAACTTAATTCTTAATTGGTCTAAAGTTCATTTAGAAGAAAATAAATTATTTTAAATGTTTTAAGCAAGAGAAAAAAATAATCTGAACAGCTTGGCATCTACTAAAATTTAGGTCAAGGACCCAAAGAACCGTTACCATAGCAACTTGCCACACAACACTCATCAACATTTCCCTCCAGCTGCTTACCATTGAACTACCTTTTTCTTTTAAGGGGGGGGGGGGGGGGGGGGGGTGGGGGGTGCTCTCAGGGATTGTGTGTGTCTGTTATGTCACCGTCAGTACATCCTCCTCAATTCTCAGATCTTTAATGAGACAGATGCAGCCTCACCTGACATGTTACACTTAAATAGTCTTCTTTCAGCTTTGCCCTCTTCAGGGGTCTCCACAGCGAGTCATCCTCCTCCATCTCTGTCCTCTGCATCCTCTGTCCTCCAACTACCTCCATGTCTCTAACTGCATCCATATGTCTCTTCTGTCCGTTTCCTGGCAGCTGCATTTCTAACATCTTTATTTATACATGTCTTAAACAAAACTACACCAGGTGTGAAAGATAAGATCAACTTCACTGTTTCTATAGAAACTAAGAGCTGATAAATTAAAACACTTACATCTTGGTTCGTAATTTTGACCTGCTCAATAAATGCAGGAGTTTTGTTTGTTTGTTATTCTGGGGCGTTCAGGTGCGTGCCAACACAATGTCAAGGAGGAACAAATGACTCAAAACTAATTACTACAGAGACGTACTGTAATTGTTTGTGCCCAATAACTTGAGCAAAGATATGAGACAATCGGAAATAATTTAAATCCATTATTGAGTAATGAGAAAAATATTTTCACACAAGGAAACCACTAACGACTTCAGGTGACAGGAAGTTTTATTAATTTATATTTTAGAAAAACTTTATATGAAACTGCATGTTTCCTCCTGTGTGATTACACTGGCAAACACCATCCAGTTGTAGCACATCAACATGTCCCTAAATCACTATCCTGTCACACTGCAGACGTACAAAAACTGCTTCCATCCGCACCCGATGCAGTCGTCTATAGACAAAGAAAAATAAAACCCAGAACATATCACTAACACTCACACCCATAAACACACCCAGGAACAAGACCAACCAAGTGAAACCTATGAATAGACGCTAGTGTCTTGGTTTGCCTGCATGATCAGCTGATTGTTTCCTTGCTGCTTAGTGTCACAAAAACCTGTCGGTCCAGTTCAATAACATTCACTTGGTCTCTCAGGCTTTCCTAAATGTCTGTCTCCTCTTTGGTGCGCTTCTTCTGCTATAACCAGTCGTCATAATTGATCCAACAGCTGAGTGTCGTCAAAGCCATCCGTTTCCTGTCTGCTGCTGATCAACATTTTCAGTTCAACATCTGTTTCAGTAATAATTTAACATTTAGAACAGACTGAGAAGGTAAAATGCACAAAAAAATAACAGATGAAATGGAATCTAAATGTTTCAACTTTCATTTTTTTTATTCCTGGCACCAAAACCCACAGGTAAATTTAAATATTGTTTATGTGTGCAGCACACTGATGCACTTTAAACTGACAATATTTTTTCCTTTATTACTGTCAAGAATAAAAAAAAAACATTTTCTATCGAAAACCTGAATGGAAGCAGCACACATCTTTTAAATTCAACAAGTTCAAACATGTTCTACTTTTAAGATGCACATGCCGGTATTTTAAAAAAGTAAGGAAGTCTTCTTACTGTGTGCTTTGGTAGACGTCCACAGAGCTGTTGAGTCCTTCTAGCTGTCCCATGAGAAGCTGCAGGTTGGAGTTGATGTAGCTCAACTCGAGAACTACCATCTCTTTAACCTTGTTGTTGTTTGTAGCCCTGCACACAGAGAGAAAATATACAGAAATATCAGAATTTTAAAAAATAATCTGTGAAAAAGAATGGGAAAAAAAATGTGCAGGAAGCACAACACGTGCCTTTATTCAATCAACCTTTATTTATACAGGTAAATCCCATTGAGCCTCGAGGACTCATTTACAAGAGAGACCTGATTTCAACAAAGAAAGATGACAACAATGGACAACAGCAACAACAATAAACAGTTATAAAAACTCATACTAGTTTTTTTTTTTTTTTTAACAAATAGGATGGCTAAAAGGAAAAAGGTAACAAAACAAAAAAAAAAACCAGCTAGATTCCAAGACAAATGTATAAAACTAAAAACAGGAACATGTCTGCATTGGTCCCTGCCAGGAGTCTAACAGATTCTTAAAGCCACTTAGAGAGGTCAAGGTCGAGAGCTTCATTATTAACAATGTAGTTGTAGCTAAACACTGATTTTTAAACCAAGTGTCTCCTGTGGTAATCTCATGTAGGCCTGTGTCACCGTGCACTGCTGTGCACGTTAAACTGCACACACGGTTGCACAGTTGAGTTTATGGCAGATGCAACACGATTCGTCCTCCACAACACGTTTCAACAAACTGTAGGTTATCAAGGGACTAGTTAGGAACATAATACGGTTTGTGATGGAAATATGGCTCCACGGAGTTTGCTGCTGATCCCACGAGTGAATCAGATGGTGAAAAGTGTGACACATTAACTCATCCCCCCCCACCACCACCACCACCACCACCACCACCAAGGCTGCATCTTTGTGAACTTGCAGATCATGTCAGCTGGTTTAGATGCTCTGCGTGGCAGAGATAAGGCAGCACTAAAACGTGCAGGTTGGCTTCTTTGTCTTAACATTCACATCCAAAGCAGCTGGAGCCTTTGTAAAGAAGTATTTATGTTACGCTGTCAGGACATACAAAGAAAACCTGCAATTCATGAGCATCTGTGGTGAGTGACACAAGATAACACTCAAACCTCTGAGGTGTCCCTTTATTCTCATCTGCGTTCTGTCTGCAGCGACTCCTCACAAGTTCACAGTTGATCAGAACAAATTAAGCATTTACCGTAACATGTACCGAACGCATCTCACCTCAAACCTGTTCGTGCACACACATACTCTTTGTTATAAAATGTGTTCTGCTCCGATTATAAATGCCATTTTAATACTAAATGTAGTATCGGCTGAAAAGTCGAGAGAAAAAAAAAGGATAAAAAGCATACCGTACTTTTCGCTGTATAAGTCGCACCTTTTTGCATAAATTAACATGCCCTGTGACTTATACAGCAAAGAGACATATTTATGTTTTTTCCCCTCATATTTATAACCCATTTTTTGTCTGAGATTTGACAATTTCATTCATTCTGACATGGAAAATATTGAACAATATCATTTTCAGCTGCTAGAGGGTGCTCAAGTAATATGGCAAGTCAAGTGTCTCATTAATAGGTAAAAGTGGCTATTAATGAGACACTTGGCTTACCATACAAAGCCACCTTCGTCTCACTCCAAAACTCCTGGAGCAAATGTCAAATCAGCTGCATGTTGCTGCAGCACCCAGATGAAATGCAGCTGATTTAACCATTAAAGTGCATTTATTAAGGAAAAATTAAACTGAGACACACATTTGCTATAATTTCAAGCAAGCAAATAATTGTTTTTAAGTGTTAATCTTGTTAAATTTTTGTTAAAGTTCTCCCGTGCGCGTTCCCGCGGCCGCCATTTGGCAGCCAATCGATTTTTGGCACAACACCGGCCCATGTTTCCAGGTGGTCAGCGGTGACGCATAACAAATGTGACGCGTGAGCGGTGATGCATAATAGATGCGAATTATATGGCGAAGTGACGCATTTATGTTTTTTTTTCCACTTTGTTAGACATATTTGGACTGATGTGACTTATACGGAAGAAAGTACGGTAATTAAGATGACAAGTCAATAAAGAGTAAACGCTCTGAAGGCTCAGTTTTGTGCAGCAATAATGCTATCCACTAGTTTGGTCTTCATTAAATCACAATGTCTGTCACAAAACTTTGACTTTTGATTCCACAAAACAGACATGAATGTTAGTCCACGCTTCATCAGGTGAGTAATACCACTGCTTCCTTCCCTTTTGGCTGGTGGATGAGTTCTGGAGAGGTTTGTTTGGGAAACTCATCAAGGTTGAAGATCTATATGGGCTTTGGTTTGGAAAGAACAGACAAACTCCATAAGAAGCTGTTATTAAAATCCAATTTCAATAACTAACCTCGTCCAGCAGGAAACCAGACTTGAATCAGCAAATGTGGCTTGACTAAAGACTTCTCCATCTTCTTCTATGAATTGGATGATTTATCCTTTTTTTCCCCCCCCCCCATGTTCTTTTAATTATTTAATAATTTTTTATATTGTCGTTTTGCTTTTCATGTGTGCCTCGGATCTGAAGCAACAGCTATTGTGTTATGAAAATAAATAAATAATGCTTTAAAAATGAAGTTTCCACTAGTTGTCAAAGGAATATTCAGTCTAATTACAACCAAGTTTCCTGCCGTAACAGTGTTTTGTTGCTCTACCATAGCTTTCTACAATCTGATAACTAAATGTTGAACTAAATCAAGACAGTCTTGGTACCATATTCAATTAAACCTATAAAAAAATATAAAAAAAACAGTCATTGTGTTTTAAAAATCAGAGATGGTTTTACAAAAAGCACTGTCTTTTCAGTATCAGATGTGTGAGCTGAAGAGGAGGAAAAGAAGAAGAAGAGAACTGGTCTGACCAGACTGACTCCACCTGTTGCTGATTGACACACAGGAATGCAGAACAAGAGGGAAGAAGGGAAAAATAGGAGGGAGATACTGAAGGACAAACAGCACAACTCACACTCACCTCCTTATTTAAAAATATATCGCTTAACATATTGACACAGATCCTGGATAAACGTATACTTGGACAAAAGCCAAAGTAAATAACTTGATCAAAATTTGTTCTTGCCGTGACATCCCAGGTCAATTTCTAAGAGAATGCTGCCGAGTTGTGCACATGCAAACAGACAGCGAACAGTTTAGGAGTTGAGGTGTTAAAAGTAAACCTGAGAGCATATCTGCAGAAATGCTCACAGAGTGTCCTCCTTGCAGCAGACAGGTATGTGGAAAGACAACACACACACACACACACACACACATGGGTCATTTGCCCCCCAGCTCCTACAGGGCAGCTATGTGAGGTAGAGGAATGCAGAGGCCTCTGCAGAGGTTTCAGGCAGGTTCAAAGAAACCTTATGATCACGGGTATATTACTACAGTGGTCTCTAACCCTGGTCCTAAGTGTGTCCACTGTCCTCAAGTATGAGTCGTCTCTCTGCTCCATCACACCTGACGGCTGCACAGAGGTCTGTCAGAGTCAGTCTCCCCACCATCACAGACATCTACACCTCCAGATGCAGGAAGAAGGCCACCTGCATCATGAAGGACCCCACTCACCCAGCACACACACTTTTTGCCCCACTCCCCTCAGGAAGGAGGTTGAGGAGCATTATGTGTAGAACCACTAGACTGAGGAACAGCTTCTGCCCTGAGGCTGTTAGACTCATGAATCTCTAACCAGGATAATCACTGTGAAAAAAAAAATCACGGTGCTGCTGATCTGTTTCATGTTGCTGCTGATTCGTTTCATGTTGCTGCTGATCTGTTTCATGTTGCTGCTGATCCGTTTCATGTTGCTGCTGATCCGTTTCATGTTGCTGTGTTCATTCGTACTCCTCTGCTCACACAGACTCATGTTCGTGCTGTTCGGTGTATTGTTTTTATACTACTAGTGCTTAGTGTATTTCTAGTTAACATTTTTCTTAGTTCATATCTTAGATCTTATTACTGTTTTCTTTTACATTTTATACTTTTGTTGGATGTAACTGGGACCCTGTGTACACAGTTTGACAAATAAATGACAATGACAAATAAAGAACCTTGAATTCTTGAATCTCTGACTGACTGACGAGCTTGTGCTGAACTTGACAGCAAGCTGACAGAGGAGGCTAAATCAATCATCTGAACCAGGTGAGTAAAGCAGAAGAAACATCTCAAACACGTAGGGCGATGAGCTCTGAAAACCAGGGCTGGAGACCACTCTGACACCATCAGTTAACTGAGTTGGGCCATAGTTTGGACGTCAGAACTGCACCACCAAAGTTGTTGTACCCACATACAAAGAAGCAGCACAGATTAATTATTATCATCTGCAGCAGATATTTCCAGGACCATAATTATACAATCGTCTCTGACAGAGGATGAAAACAATTCCAGCTTTGCTGTTATACTGTAATTGTCAAACACTGAGTACACAGACGTACACACCCTCACCAGACGGACTTGAACACAAAGGGAGGCAGAAAGAGATGGTCCTGCATGATCAAAAGACGCAGCTACCTTCATTCATGCAAACTTGCACCCTCGTGCATTCTCTACAACCAGTTTCACAAAACAACTCTGCAGTACAGGTGCAAAGATGACTGCAACGCCATGAGTCGTTCACAAACTGAGCCGGCCACGTCTCAGGACAATGTGTGCTCATATAAAGAAAGCATTGTGAAAACAAAGCAGGCGTAAAGTGGAACTCGGCGTTGTTGATGTTGAGGATCCTTCAGCTTTGCAACAGACTGTCATCTCTACGTTCAACGCTCCAGCTGCGTCATCTTTACACATACGACCGTTTTAGCTCGGTGAATACATCAGCTGGTGGCTCAGAAGTACAGTAAGTTGACTTCAACCCTCCCAGCTCCGCTCTTTAATAAATCACGCAGAAAATAAAAAGGTACATCAGGCCCACTTTTAAAGTGCTTTATGGAAGAAACCATTTTGTCTTGTCAGGAAGCTTCAGCTTCTGGTTCAGGTCTAATTTTGTTTATTAAATTTTGACAGCTGTCTTGATTTGCGATCAGAATGAAAAACAGATTTCTAACACCCATCAGTGATCTTTCATTTATCCATACTTTATGCAAAGATTGTTTTCTGCGCATGTGAGATCAAAGCAACTGGCCCAGACAACATCCCCGGAAAAGTGTTGAAGGAATGTGCTGATCAGCTCTGTGAGGTGTTGGCAGACATCTTTAACACCTCACTTACCCTGGAGACAGTTCCCACCTGCCTGAAGACTGCCACCATCATCCCAGTCCCAAAAAGCTCTACAGTGACTGGTCTGAATGACTATCGGCCAGTGGCCCTCACCCCGATAGTCGCTAAATGCTTCGAAAAACTGGTCATGACTCACATCAAAACAACCATCAACATCAACGAGGACCCTCATCAGTACGCATACCGTGAGAACCGATCAACAGAGGATGCAATCTCCTCTGTGGTCCACACTGCACTCAACCACCTGGAGCAGAAAAACTCTTACGTCCGTATGCTCTTTGTGGACTTCACATCCGCCTTCAACACCATGATCCCCCAAACCCTGATGGACAAACTATCCACACTAGGACTAAGCCCCTCCATCTGCAACTGGGTACTAGACTTTTTAACAAACAGACCACAGTTAGTGAGGATCCACAACCTCTCCTCCTCCACCATAACCCTCAGCACTGGCTCTCCTCAGGGATGTGTGTTGAGCCCCCTCCTGTTTACTCTGCTCACATGTGATTGTGCAGCTACCCATCCAGGCTGTCACATTGTAAAGTTTGCAGATGATACAGCGGTGGTGGGATGCATCGCAAACAATGATGAGTCCAGCTACAGGCAGGAGGTGGAACACCTGGAGAGCTGGTGCAGAGAGAATAACCTTCACATCAATGTGAAGAAGACAAAGGAGATGATTGTGGACTTCAGAAGGAACAAAAACACCTACACCCCCCTGAACATAAGAGGATCTGCGGTGGAAGTGGTCTCCAGCTACAAGTACTTGGGTGTACACATGAATGACAACCTCAGCTGGAGCAACAACACCACCAGCCTGATCAAGAAAGCTCATCAGAGACTCTACTTCCTCAGACGGCTGAGGCGAGCTGGTCTGGGAAGCTCAGTCCTCACCTCCTTCTACAGGTGTGCAGTGGAGAGCATCCTGTGCTCCAGCATCAACGTGTGGCATGGAGGCTGCACAGCTGCAGAAAGAAAAGCTTTGCAGAGAGTGGTGAAGGCTGCACAGAAGACTGTTGGAATCAGTCTCCCCACCATCACAGACATCTACACCTCCAGATGCAGGAAGAGGGCCACCTGCATCATGAAGGACCCCACCCACCCAGCACACACACTTTTTGCCCCACTCCCCTCAGGAAGGAGGTTAAGGAGCATTAAGTGTAGAACCACTAGACTGAGGAACAGCTTCTACCCTGAGGCTGTTAGACTCATGAATCTCTAACTAGAATAATCACTGTGAAAAACCATATCATGTTGCTGCTGATCTGTTTCATGTTGCTGCTGATCTGTTTCAATGTTGATGTGTTCATGCGTGCACATCTGCTCACAGACTCATGTTCATGTTTGTGCTGATGTTCAATGTTTTATGTTATGAGTGCTTAGTGTATATTTAGTTGATGTTTTTCTTAGTTCATATCTTAGATCTTATTACTGTTTTTCTTATACATTTTATTGTTGGATGTAACTGGGACCCTGTGTACATAATTTCGCTCCACCACATGTACCACATGAGGTGCGAATGACAATAAAGAAACTCTGACTCTGACTCTGAGAGCTTAAATCTTGGCAGGTTTAAGGTTCTCTCACTAATGTTTGACAATTTATTTTTATGAAACAATTGTGATTAATGATTAAATTCTGTTTCTCTGTTCATTTTTATGCCATGGCATAACTGAACAGTGTAAATATACACTAAAACCATCTAAAGGTTACCTATTAATACCTAACGGGGAGTGATGGCGCAGAGAGAAGTGAGCCTGTGATCAGAAGGTGGCCAAGGTGAAGCACCCACACCTGCATCCACCTTCATTTGTCCCCCCATCTGGGCCCTTGAGCAGATATGGCACCCTAGATGCAGCTCTCTGCTCCACACAAAAGTACTGTGGTAGCTCAGTGGTCTGTGGTTGTGTCAGGAAGGGGCTCTGGTGTAAAACAATTGCTGAATCCTTGTGAGAGTTTGTGGCGAACCCTGACGAAGGGAGCAGCCAAAAGAAATTTTAAATTTCTAAAGGTTAATAGGACAGAAAAATCAACAAGGCTTCAGGCTGATGATAATAAAGTTTGCTCCAAAGTAAATCCACCTTTTTGAAAAAAGGCTGGTTTGGAGAAAAAGGTTCTGTACATACAGGAAATATAATAATAAACCAATTTAATGTTTATTTAGTCTCCCACATCCAAAAGTGTGTTTGGTAGCAATGTATTGCTACCCAATTAAAGTGACAGTTCAGCAAGTGAAACTTTTAAAGCCGAAATAGTTAGTTTTAGACCACAAGAATGCTCCTCCTTGAGCTTATCATTCAGGGTCATCTGATCTCTGTGGTGGCAGAGTGTTTAAAGAGGCGATGCCAGACTTATCAAACAAGTCACAAGTCTCTACAGGCCACCAGGGTGGCATCGCTACCAACTGCTTTCTGTACTTTGTTTCTCTTATGCAACACATGCAAATCCAAATCCGTTTGCATGAACAGTGTAGCCATGTGTTACGCTATCTGTGCGACAGTTCGTTCTTACTTCAGCAGGTTCTCAGCTCCAGCCCTCATCCTCATCTGTTTGATGATCTGCTGGTTCAGACTGGCCCGTTTACTCTGAAGTTTGCTTCGTCCGGTCTGTGCAAGGGGGTTGCAACCCTGAGACGGGAAATATAAGCAGAACGCACGCTCAGTAATAATTAGCAAAAGCAAAACATACAAAAAGAAACTGCACAGAAGTCATACACTTAGTACAAACCGTAGGGCTGCATAATATTAGAGCAACTTGCAATGTACAGTATTATTACTATTTAATACTGAGATTACAATATCAGTTGTGATCAACCCACATTTACTCTGCACTTTCTCTCCTGTCATCACCGTCTGTGGACATCAAGACCAGTGAGAGTCTGTTTGATTCATTAAATATATTAACATACAGAACATGAAGGCATGGTACTTGAAATAAATGCCTATAATTTATAGAGGCCTATAATTGGATCCATGTTGTTTTGTTTTTTTGCTGTGTGCTTTCCTTGTTTGTGTGTGCAGCACTTTGGTCTGCCTTGTTGCCGTTTTAAGTGCTTTATAAATAAAGTGGTATGGTATAATTTATTGCAGTCCAAGCAGACCTTCGCAATATTTATCTTGCGCTCACTGATATTGCAATGATGATACATTTTTAATATATTGTGCAGAAATTATCCTGTGAATTCTTGATTTCCTTCAACACCATTTGTTGAAATTTAGGTTGCGATGCTTTTTGTTTTGCATTGAATCTTACTGGTAGTGAACTGCAGACTGACTCGGCCTTCACTTCAGGGTAAATAACAGACCTGTACATAAATAACTTTCACATGCAGAACTGACAGCAACACAAAGGCTGTTAAAAAAAAAGCATTCACATGAAATACTATGATCTGAGATTGGAGTTATTTTAAGACAGCCAAGTCCAAGTCTATCAGGGAAAAGATCCGCATTTACCTGATATTTACAACTGACTGTTTCGAGCAAGTTCTATTGCAGGTAAGATATTGATTGCCAATAGCATTTCCACAAAATAACTTATTAAGTGAAAATTACGCTCTTTCAATAAAGTTTCTTCTCTTTTTTGTTTAATCTTACAGCTACCATGTACAGGTACTTTTGGTCAACCTACTAAAATAGCGGTCAAATAAAATGCTCTAAATGCTACTGGCATAACAACTTCATTTTTTATTTAGTTTCAAAGAATATTTTCTGTTTTTTCAGCCACTAGTTTAACGGAAAACCTGAATGTAAGTTGGGTGTGGGAAGAACCGTGCCTTCCCACCGTGTATTTAACCAAAACACACGTTCTCACTCAGTGTTTAAATATAATGGCCTGTATCTGTCTGCACTGTGTGACCCTTGTTCCTGCCACAGCACTAAGAGTACATGCCTCACCAAGTCAACAGGCGGTCACTCACAACCAGGTATAAACAATGTGGAGGCTTCACTAAAACTCACCTTGTCCAGAAATAAAAGTAGATAAACCAACCAGCTCAGTGAAACCAGTTGGGTTGAAGTCACCAGTGTGGAGACAAATAGTCTATTTCAGTTTCTATAAACAAACTCATTTCGAATAGTTTCCAAAAAGGAAAGAGGAAGAGAGATTTAGTTTTTCCATCTACAAACCCACAACAGGGAAAGGTCTTTTGGGATGGCTGTGGTATAGAGGTAGGGAAGCTGGCTTGGGACCAGACTGTCACAGGTTCAACTCCCCATCATGCCCACATGTCATGGTGTCCTTGAGCAAGACACCTAATCCCCAACTGCTCCCTGGATGCTTATATAGCTGCCCACTGCTCCACCTGGATGTATTTCATGAGTGATGGATTAAAAGCAGAGAACTAATTTTGTCAATGTATAGAAACATACAATGATGGCAACACATAGCACATTCTGTTTCTTCTTCTTCTCCTCATATCAGAGAGGCATTTTCTCATCGTAAAAGCTTTAAACAGATAGAAATGCCCATTCAAACAGTTTCTTTGGGGGAAATAAGTTTCCAACCTTACAGCTGCCACAGTTACAAATTCCAGGAAAAAGAAGGATATCGTGCAGCTAGACGAGAATTTTTTTTTTTCCCACTCAAGGAATGAGAAGTGCTGGTCTCAGTCTGTGCTGTCAGATTTTTCACATTCACATTTGAGTCATGCTGAGACTGCTCTTATCTTAAAACATTCCTGAAAAATTAGTGAGCGGAGCAGGTGGGTGGAACGATGTTCCTTTCGAGTACAAATTTCAACACGGCAGGTTGAGTGTTTTCAACAGAGGTCATATAGCGCATTGTGCTCTTCCACCACCCTGCTCCGGTCACCAGGTTGATCCTGTGTAAACACTTCAGTGGCCTGAAAGTTTAATGATTAACTGTTTATACAAAACTAAAAGGCCTTTTTATTACACATCAGAGTTTTACCAAGGATGCTGAGTTATTCTCAGAATGACAGGAGGAGCATTAGTGAAGGAGGTGTGGGCCGAAAGTAGCATTGGCGTCACTCAGCCATGCAGTCATTCGATCACTGCATCTAAGGCAGGGCGTGGGATAGAACAAGGGAGATGCCAGTGTTTGATAAATACCATAGCAGTAAGTTTCCACTTTTTCACTGCAATACTGAACGTAAAGTTCCCACTGACGATCTTCACCATATGCTGCAATACTCTGTTAATGCTCTAAATACACTGTATGGCCCCAAAAAAAGTTGCCACCTGGATTTAACTAAGCAAATAGGTACGAGCCTTCTATTGGATAATTACTGCATGGGTGATTATCTTTCATCTGGCAACAAATTATTTAACTCCAACTGGTGCAATGAGTTGCTTCTCATTTCTTAAACAACCATGTTGAAAGACACATCGTGTGGTCGTGGAAAAGATGTCAGTCTGTTTGAGAAGGGTCAAATCATTGGCATGCATCAAGCAGAGAAAACATCTAAGGAGATTGCAGAAAGTACTAAAATTGGGTTAAGAACTGGCCAATGCATTATTAAAAACTGAAAGGATAGTGGGGACCCATCGTCTTCCAGGAAGAAATGTGGCCGGGAAAAAAATCGTGAATGATCGTGATCGGCGGTCACTTAAATGTTTGGTGAAATCAAATTGAAGAAAAACAACAGTAGCTCTCAGGGCTATGTTTAATAGTGAAAGTAAGAGCATTTCTACATGCACAATGTGAAGGGAACACAAGGGATTGGGACTGAACAGCTGTGCAGCCTTAAGAAAACCACTAATCAGTGAGGCTAACTGGAAGAAAAAAAAAGTTTCAATTTGCTAGGGAGCATAAGGATTGGACTCTGGAGCAATGGAAGAAGGTCATGTGGTCTGATGAGTCCAGATTTACCCTGTTCCAGAGTGATGGGTGCATCAGGGTAAGAAGAGAGGCAGGTGAAGTGATGCACCCATCATGACTAGTGCCTTGTCATCAATGCAAGATCTTGGTGAAAAATTAATGCAACACTTGATGTAAATAGATCTTGTGACATTGTAGAAGCTTATCGAATCAATGCCACAGAGAATGCACGCCATAATCAAAGATAAAGGCGGTCCAACAAAATATTAGTGTGTGACCTTTTTTTTTTGGGGGGGGGGGGGGGGTGGCAACTTTTTTAGGGGGCCAGACGGTGTATAATGCTTTGTCTCGTAAATCCATAAATCCAACTTTACAATATTGGACCATGATTCTTTATTTTTGTAAAAACAACCCAATTTTAAATAAATGAAAACAGCAGAGTGGCCATCATCAGCACAGTGTTGGTTCATTTGAAACCCTTCTGATTACTAGAAACTAAAATCTAAACTTTACCACTTTGCTAACCATTTCACAGGGTTTGCCCCCCCCCCCCCCCCCCCCCCAATCTACTGTCAGATTGAACAGTTGAGCCTTTCTCTTCGACCCTACAAAACAATTCATTAGATGAAAGCACAAAGGCAGTGCAGCATCGTTTTCTGAACACAGCCAAAAGGTTTGCTGTTGTATAAACGAGGCTTTATGTGGAGCAAAGGGATCGTTGGTTTATAGAAGCTGTGATTTGGAGTGGCGACTGGCCAGCGGGGGGCTTTAGACACAACCTAGTTAAGAGCTTAAATATCCTTTTCCCTATGATATAAGATTTAAGCATGACAGACATTTATAAACTCTCTTAATATTAGAATAAATGACCATTTGAAATCACAAACTGGCTCATTTACAGTGGGACTGTTGTCAGAGTGGGGTTTGGCTATTTAATAATTAAAACTTTATTTTCAGTTAAGCACTACACAAGTCCATACTTAATCGCAGCTGCATCCCTCATTTGTCTGTTTCCTCTCAGAACGCTGCTTAGAAGAATCCAAGAGGGTCTTCAAGTCAGGGGAACTGGTTTGGTTTGTGAACCAGGGCACATGTTGTCAATTTGTGTCTGTGGTCTGGCTGAGGGAAAGCCTCAGGCCAGATGCTACGTCAAAGCTCTCTCTGGCCGAGGAGGACAAGGAGAAGAAACATGCCGATTTCAACTTTTTGGGCTGCCATCTTTCCATCCTGAAGCTGTCCAGTTGGCCCTCAGCCATCTGGAGACCAAACAGTGGACGTCTGGGAAGAACGCCCCGAACCGCGACAGCTCCTCTGAAGTATCAGGCAGATGTAGTGTGGTCTTGTTATTCATTAATCTAATTTTCACACAGGAGAACAAGAAGCAGAGTTTAAGAAAGAACATCACGGCTTCTTCACTCCGACCATAAAGTTTCCTAAATGCAAAGCTCTCCATTCAGGTCATTGTGAAGTATGGCAGAATCCACCAAGTGTATTACATACATAAAAACAACTCCTTAAAAATAAGGTATGAGGTTTCACAGTGTTTAGTCATGTCCTGTGACTGTGCCAGACCCTGACTCCCACTGACCTTTTTTTTAAACCACAGGAAGTGAAGCCCAGAGCCTCAACCAGACAGCGTTCAGAGGGGGATTCAGAGGGATTTAAAAGACACAAAGGATATGCTCAGATACCCATCGAAATAAGCTCGTCTAAAAAAAAATACAGCCTGGGTGAGAAGAACAGTGAGCAATGAGACACAGATCACAAACAGGGAAACGGTAAAAACACATCGGATAATCACTTAGCCACTGCTGACTGGTTTTATCCTCACAACCTCAGACCAGACAAATCCACAGCTCTCGAAAACATTTCAGGTACTGGAGGGTGGGCAAGCTAACTTTACAAGAGCAAGAGCATTTCTGATGTAAAACACAAGATGTTACTCTTGGCAAACAATTTAAGTAAGCTGTCAGATGCATTATAGATTCACCTGTATGGCAATTAGTTGAAAGCTAAAAGTAGATGTTTCGCTTAACTTACATTTTACCTTTAAACAGATAGTGATCGTTGATTGTTTTAAATTAAAGAAAAAGGAATGAAATGGATTCCAAAGGAAACAGTTTTTTCCTGCCAGAAGTATCCAGTGGTCTGGGGTCGAATGGTCATACATGTTTACAGCAGATCGATCTAATCAATCACCATCACACATAAATAGGACACCATTCATCTCCATGCATTCAGTTTCTAAAGGTCACACAAACACACCTGAAGCTGACAGTGTAGTGGTTTCTGCTGCTGACATTTTCTAAGCTGTCCTTTACGCTTTTATAACTATTTAACCAAGTCTCAACTCCCTGTGGTCGAGTACTACTAAAAATACTAAATTATATCTGGTGCTTGTCAAAGGCAACCATGTTTTTTTTCGACTTATTTTACGTTTACGTCTTTTTTTATATACTAGTAGCACCTTCAATTAAGTAAAGTGTAAGTCGTAGGCAAAAAAAGAAGCTGAACCCATGTTTTCCCACAATTTTGGCTGTGTACGCAAGCTGACGCACGGGCAAACTACAGCTAACTGTGTTGTGGAGCGTCGACGAGCTAAAAACTCACCTTTTTGAAGTAACTACCGTCTCCTCCGCTGTCTTCGATTCCGTTCGTTAGAATGGTGTCCGTCATCCTGTGTGGACTAACACTCCGAGCAACTCTGACAATTAAACAACAAGCGCCTTCGAAGGTAAAAAATAAATCTTAATCGCAGCTGGACAACAGGTGAGCAACGTATCCAACAATGAACTCCGTCTGCCTCTGCCTTCACTCCACCCAGCCTACCGGTTTTCCAGCACTTTGCAGCAGGAGCCTGAGGCTCCGCCCATACAATTTACAGACTCCGCCCATGTTAAGAATAGACTCCGCCCACGTAATGATGTAATGTAAGGCTTCTTCAAAAAAGAGGGGCAAACACAACACATGAGTTAATAAAAACGTCAGAACTAGATATCTGCTTCGCTCAGGTGATGTCCACTACATTACAATGAGACGGTAAAACAACAAAAACACGCGTTATACCAACAAATATGGTATGGTATAAAGTTTATTCATTTTAAAAAAGTACAAAACAATTCCATAACAATATAAAAAAAGATACAAGACATTTAAAATGAAAGGCAGCAGAAAGAAGAAAAAATCTTATTATATATGCCTCTTTTTTCAAATAATAATTTCAATCATAATAATTTTCAAGTAACAGAACAAAATGAATAACTCTTTCTAATTTTTCTAATTCTAATACAAAACACACACTTAGCTACTTCATATATACTTTTTTAACAATTCAGCTTTGATCTTTTTCTTAAATGTACACATTGACTAACATCACTCTCTAGACCATTCCACAATCCAACTCCTTGGATTGAGGTAGACCTTCCCTTCAGACTAGTTCTGAATTGTGGTTTGACAAATATCTCTATCCCCTTAAGATTATAACAACTTTGTCTTTTAACAACATTTCTTTGGATATTTAATGGTAATGTGTTATGTTGAGCCCTATACATAACTGATAAAATACTATAATCTACCAAATCATGGAACTTCAATAACTTCAGTTGATAAAATAATGTGCTTGATGGGTGACTGTAATGCTTTCTGGTGATAATTCTTACAGCTCTTTTCTGTAAAATAAAAATAGGTTTTGTAAATGTTTTACACGCTTTCCCCCAAACATCAATGCAATAGATTAAATGTGGAACAATGATTGTGTTATACAACATGTACAGAGCTTTATCATTTAATAATTCCCTGACTTTGTATAGTACTGCAATAGATTTAGATATTTTTGTTCTTACAGAATTTATGTGATTTTTCCATGTTAGCTGTTCATCAATGATTACACCCAAAAATTTAATCTTATTAACTCTACAAATCTCAACACCCTCAATTTTAAATGGATCATCAACAGTTCTCTTTTTGTTACTAAATATCATGTATTTAGTTTTATTTAAATTTAATGATAATTTATTAATTTTAAACCAAGTTTGTATTTTATCAAATTCTGTCTTCATCAATTCCAACATCCGTTTTACATCTTTACCCAAACAAAATAATGTGGTGTCGTCTGCAAAAAGGACACATTTGAGGAGTCCTGATACATTCACTAAGTCATTCACATATAAAATAAATAATTTTGGTCCAAGTACAGAGCCTTGAGGAACTCCACAAGTGATATTGCAGAGGTCAGATCTTACACCATTTATTTGTACAAACTGTTTCCTATCTTTTAAATAGCTAGATACCCAGTGTAATGCTGGTCCTCTTATGCCATATTTATTTAAAATATGAGAATAGTGTAGTCAATAGTATCAAATGCTTTTTTTAAATGAACAAAAATACTAACACAATATTGTTTTTGATCGACAGCAGTAGTTATTTGTTCTATTAATTCCACGAGAGCCATTGATGTAGAGTTTTTTGCTCTAAACCCATACTGACTGCTACTTAGAATGTTTTGTATCTAAAATATGACAAATATGGACGTTAATAACGTTTAAGTTAATGGTTTCTTCTTTTAGTTGAATGAAATCCCCTTAGCTAATTTTTGCAGTTTGGCTAATTAAGAACTATAACGTTTCTTATCAATTTTCCTCTGAAAATATAATTTAGTTGATTTAAAAATCAAACAATAAATAACTTTAAATGAACACAAGAAGTGAAATAGAAATCAGTGAATAGCACATGTGTCAAACTCAAGGCTCGCAGACCAGATGTGGCCCATCACGTCATTTTATGTGGCCCGTGAGAGCTTAAAAGGTCTGATTGTCATATAATAAATAAGTTGAGTGCACTGACAACAAACTATATTTCCCATAATGCATGCCAATTATGTTACCTGCAAAGTAACAGCATCCCACCACTAGATTGCAGTTTTTCCACATCAATATCATTTTCCAAACAAGTGGAATAGAGAAATACAAACAATCCCAAAATGTCCAGGAGGAGAAAAATGGATGCAGATGGAAGGCTGTTTCAAGAAAGATGGGAAGGTGAATATATGTTTGTGCTTCAAGCAGAGAAACCACTATGTCTTTTGTGTTATGAGGCAGTGGTGGTCGTCAAAGAGGACAATCTAGGTCGACATTTTGATACCAAACATGAAGCTAGGTATGCCAAAGTGAGCTTTCAACCCTATTTTGAGTTTATTGTACTTATTAATTGTTTTTTTGTTATATTATGTTAAATTTGCATCAATGGATTTGGGATTGCAGGTTTATGTTTTTATGCAGGTAAATGTTTTCTATATTAATACCATCTCTCATTAGTTGGATGTATGCCCCTTGGCTGTGTGCAGCCATCTGTTTTTTGTAAAATGCTACACCTGTCACACATGTTCTTACAGCTCACAGTTGTTGGTTGGACTGTTATTCTGCCCCTCTTCATTATGACAAAAATGTTTTGAACAAAGTTAATGACATAACTTGTTATTTTTCCTTATTCACTTGGAAAGTTTGATCATTGATTTATGGAGTAATGTGGGTTTCATAACCTGACAAACTAAAAGGTTTTTATGTTATAACAACAGACATATTTTTCTACATCTATGCAAATATATATGTAATATTTTGTAAGTTGAATAAGTAAAATAATTCAGAGTTATTTAACATTAAGGGGTAGTTGTGTTTATTTTACATTACATTTAGTTAAATTTAGCTACATTTATACTGTCTTACAGTTACATCTGGCCCTTTAAAATGTAAATACGCTATGTATTTTAGGTCTAACTTATAGTTTAATTTTAAACGGCTTCTGTGCTTTTTCATTTTATTTTTAAAGAAAATTGCAGACTTCAGCTAAACAACATTATGCAAACCGTCCTCTTCCCCATAAACATAGAAAAATGAACCTTGTTTCCTCCTTCTAAAGCTCTTAACATTTATACATATAAATATTTTAGTTGTAGGGTATCATAATATTACCTAAGAATGTGTTTGTCAAAAGTGTAAACAAATTAATTGGTCCTGTCATCATATTTTATGGTTTTATTACAGCCGTGACAATAATAAACCATTCATCCAGTCCAGCTTTTTCTGTAATGGATGTTTTTTAAACTCCTGTTGGCTTGTGTAACACTTCCTGTAGTCTTAACTGTTACCAAATAAACTTGATCCATGACTGCCCATGTTTTTGTCTAAATATTTATTTTATTTTTGTTTAAAAAGGAAGCATAGCTATGCATATGCTTTTTGTTTTCCTGGTTATGCCAGTTGAAAAGCTTGTTACAGTGTTTGCTGTTATTGATGTCAGGAGAGGATTATTGGTAACGATAAAGCTGAGGTGAAACCAGGGCATTAGGGTGCTGCTGTGGCACCAAACTAGGCCAAAGCTTTCTCTGTCTGGGAAATGTCTGCAGGAGAAATACAGCAGTTTTCAGAGGAGAAGCATTTTAATTTAACCTGTAACATCTTAAGTACATAGAGATGATGGTTTAAATACATGTACATGCTAAGATTCAGTAGAGTTGCAGTATTTGGCTTTGATATTCTTGATGAATGAATTCCTTTCTAAAATATTCACCTTTTAGCTGTTTTGATAATAGCAGTTGGGCTAGGGGACATGTTTGGTCAGGAGTTAGAAATTAAAAAGTTGTGAAATATATGATTTGCGTAATAAAACATCAAAGAAGCCTTTGCACCCCGCCCCACCTGAGCACCAGATTTACCCATTTTCATTCTGTTGTTTTTATTTAAACAACAAAAACAACACACCTCTTTTTTATGGCAGTTGTTGGAAAAAAATAGGGATTTTATTTTTTTACAAATTGTTTCAAAGCCATAATACTTGTCACAATAAATAATTGTTTCATGTTTTTTTATTTTAATTTTGTGTCTGTGTATTATGGATGATAAAAACAACTAAAATTAACTAAGTTAACCTTATTCAATGCCTAAAGTCCGTGGAGTGAAATCAGCAGTCGTGTTTTGTTGCCAACAATTACAAGTCCTTTGTTTACATTCGGGCATTGACGAATACATTTTAGACACTGAGTCGATAAAATAATCCGCAGATGGAAACAGTGAGAGGGAGAAGGATGATGGAATCACGGAGGACAGATGGAAAGATAAAGTTATTTTGTCTTCATCTAACAAAATGGCACTAAAATCTGTAAGGACAAGAGTTCAATCCATCCATTCTTCCATTATCTTTAACCACTTCTTCCTTTTCAGGTCACAGGGGTCACTGGTGCCCATGTCCAGCCTTCACAGTGTAAGAGGTGGGGGACACCCTGGACAGGTCTCCAGTCCATCACAGGGACACATAGAGACAAACGAGACAAACAACCATTCACTCTCTCACTCACACCTAGGGACAATTTAGAGTTACCAATCAGCCTAACATGCATGTTTTTGATCTGTGGGACGAAACCGGAGTACACGGAGAAAACCCACACATGCACGGAGAGAACATGCAAACTCCACCCAGAAAGGCCCCTGACTGGATTTGATTTGAAGACCTTCTTGCTGAGAGGCGACAGCTGTTTCAACTGAGCCACCGTGCCGCCCAGGACAAGATTTGAGTACGGTAATTTTAAGGGAGGAAAATGAGCGGTGGAGAACATTAAAGCAAATGGTGCGGTTGAGATCATGTGCAAATGAGCTGTCTGAAATATTCCAAACTGCAACGTGGGAATACAGGTGCATATAAAAAAATTAGAATCTCGTGAAAAAGTTATTATTTTTTTTATCTATCACTTCAGAACATGAAACTCACAGTATATAGATTCATTACACATTGAATGAAAAATTTCAAGCCTTAATTTCTTGTAATTTTGATGATTGATGTTTTCA